GGAGCTTCAACCAGTCTGCTGTGGAGCTTCAACCAGTCTGCTGTGGACTTTGAACCAGTCTGCTGTGGAGTTCCCTTGTGCACGTTCAAAGACGCATGTTGACATGAAGCACGTCCAGGACGAGTTCTTTAGAGACCGTCCAGGTGACACGATGTAACCTTCTTTTCTTGAACTTTCATGTTTGTCAACATGTCACTTTACGACTTAAACCTCGGTTGAACGTGACGGGTCACATGTTTGATCTGTTAAAAATATCTTGCCATCAAAGCATAATAACCAGTTTCACATTTTTTATTATCTTATATTCACATTTATTATTAATTATCTTTAACAATAAGTAGCAACAATAATTGTGTGTTTCTATTTGAAATATTTTACCATTAAAAACAACATATTTTGCAGTTGGTCCATATGTTTGGGGTTATTAAGTGGCATTAATGGGAGTACTGGCTTCACATGTGTTTGTGTATCGGAGTCGTACCGACTGATGGTTTATCGGCTTCTTGAAGCACCGTGTCTCTTCATCGTGAACCATTTGAACCGTTCTGACTCCGATCAAAGCTCTAACGAGCTGGGCTGACAGCAGGACATAGATTTCTGTGTTGGTTAACGGGCAGCAGCAGCTCTGCAGGCGTGAAGTCAGTTTTCTAACACGTTGGCACCTTTTTAAAGGCTTGTTGCTTCCTGGTACATTCTGTGAACACAGTCTGTAAGTAAGCAGCAGTCGGTGCGATCTGAAGATACAAGAAAGCACCGAGTGAGCAGACGGATAATTATTGCAGGCGTGATTATCTGAGGCAGTTCACCACTTTATTACTGTTGACCTTCAACTTGAGCTCAGATCTTTTGAAGTGAGGTCCTGTTACTCAGGAACTGTTTCACACAGGTTGGACAAAGCTTCTTATAAACGCTCCATTTTCCATAAATGAGTTTCATTCTGACCAAAGCGGAGGTGGATTGTCCTTAAACCACTTGAGTTGGAGCAGATTAGGTGAGCGCTTGTTGAAGGCCATGACGACGTTATTCCAGCAGAAATATTCAGGTTTTCCTGCAGGATGTGAACCTCAGCTGTAGCTGTTCTGCTCAAACCTCCTGGATTCAGTTCACTTTATTCCTGTAGCTCCAGGTCCAGCAGAAGTTAAGTTGTCTCAGGGCGCTGAACAGAAACGTTCACATTAAAACAGACGGTTAGTAAAGTTCTGTATAGGAAGCTGCAGATTGTGTTGAATCTTCGCTTCAACTCAGTCTCCCATCCTGAGCGAGCACAAAGGAGACAGTGGAAAGAAAAAACTCCCTTTTAATAGGAAGGAACCTCCAGCAGAACCAGGCTCAGGACGAGCGGTCATCTGCTTCAACCGGCTGGGTCTGAGAGGACAGGAATGAGAGACAGACACAGAATCCAGGTCCAGGTGAACTTTCTATAGTCCAGGTTAGGAATGTGCGATATAAACGGTACACGGTAGAAACGATAGACGTTTAGCTTACGATAGAGATCTGTCTTTACCGGTTCACTGCAGTACTGCTGTGTCTGACGTAAAATCAGAGTTGTCAGATTTAATTGTTACTTTTTTTTAGTTGAAAACTGTGCGTAAGTGGTGTTCAAGTATTTTCTTCGAGAGCTAAGTAGTGAAGCTACAAGCTAACTACGGCTGGCTTGCCGTAGTGTTGCCGTATTCGGACGCATGCGCTACGTTCCGTTGAAAGTTTTTTGTTTTTCCCGTAGAAAGTTAAAGTAAGCGTTGGTCAGCTTTAGAGAAACCTGCTCTCTGATCTGTGAAAAGAACGCTGTGTTGTGTGATTTTACTGCGAGACCCTCTGCTCAAAGTCACAGAGGAAACTGGTCGCCATTTTGTGTCAGCTCTCCTTAAAGTGTAAGGACACGCCCACTAGAGGGTGAAGCGTTTCACTGTGCACTTGCTGCTCTGTTGCTGTTCGTTTCGTAAGAGAAGACTGGAAACTGTTAAGAGTGTAACCCAGACAAATATTTTAGTGCATTGATTAAATTCATGAAATATGTGACAGTTTAAAGAAAATTTAAAAACACTTTACGTTAAATATGTTGTAAATATAGCTACACTTGTATTTCATTTATTTTGTAAAATGCTTAAAAACTGCTTAAAATGCACAAACATAAGTTAAAAGCAAGAAAAGTATAGCATTTTGTTGATGCATTCCATTTCTGCTTTATTGTGAAAAGCCAAAGGAAGTGTGAGCAGTGAGGGGGTGGAGCTTGATGAGAGTGACTGGGAGCCAGTCACACCAGAGGCACCAGGTGCTGCAGCTTGGAGTAATTAAATGAGTTTCCTGATCGTTAACACAGTGATCGTAATGGACGCTTGTTTCATGGTTTTTGGGACATTTCACCTTGAAGTTTGTCGACGAGTGTGTGGACGAGTTCAGAGCAGACAATGGAGAAAAGAGCCGCTGTTGCCATGGTTACCGCCGTCCCTTTCCGTGCATCCATGTAAAAATGATGTTAGTGTTTTGGATGATTGTGAACAGGAAGGCTCTGCAGGCCGCGTGGATTATGGTAATGGCTGTGAGCCCAGGTGCATGATGGGTATGAGAACGACTGGCCGCTGTCTACGAGGCAGATTATGGAAATACGAGGGCTTTTTGGAGTCGAGGGTTTTCGCTGCTGCTCAGAGACTTGGAGGGTTTTATCTCCAGCAGATTAACTCTGTGGCAGCGTGTCTGTCTGCACCTAAAAATATAAAAAAATAAAGTAAAATAAAATAAAAACGCTTCAGGGGAAGACTGCTGGACCCCCTCACCTCCTCTCACGGGTCCGCTTGATGGACACCTCAGTCAGAGAAGTTTCTCTGCTCAGTCATGAATGTTCATGAGCGCTGGGCAGGACTGGAGCAGGTGAGCTTTACACAACAAAAACAACAACAAAACAACAAATGTTGAACTGCACACAGGAAGCTGGAGAATGTTCAGGTCCTGGATGTAGCCCACGCTGCTGAATCACTCCGGTGGCATTTAGAGGCCGAGTTTCCCGGAGTCCGCAGAGAGACGAGGTCTTCCTGAGGGGATCTGACTTCACGAGGCTCCGTGGCCCTGAACGCACCGCTCAGTCCGGCAGGACCAGGAGCAAACGCCAAACAATAAAATATTTTTACTTTGCGTTTGAAACAAGTGATTCTTTTTAATTTACTGAGTTTTATCCAACAAACGTGATGAAATTCAAACTTTTAAACAGAAATGATTTTAGTTTGTGACCTCACATGCAGATCACTCTCCCTCCCCTCCCTCCTGAGGGTCATTAGAGTCTAACGGAGCGGCTCTGAGCAGCAAAACGATTTCAGAAACGAGTGAAAAGTTGCTTCTATTTGTTGAATGGACCTTTTAGGATTCTCCGTCTTCTGGTGACAGAATCGGCATCAAAACTTCAAAATAAAAGCGTTCCTGGGACCAGAGGTTACATGTTCACCCTCGCTGCTGGGAGCTTCAACGAATACAGAGCAGGTTGTTTGCAGCTGAAAGGTTCTCGGAACGTTCTGACATTTACATGATTCAAACGTCCAACAATCTCCTCATTCCTACAGAAATAAACAAACATAATTAAAAAGTTATTTATCTTTATTTATTTATTTAACCGTTGAGGGGGTCGCGAGCTGTAACCAGTCTTGCGACTCTCTTTAAAAACAGGCCTGTTTCTTCATGAGACAAATATTTGAATTTTAATCAGATGTAGGAGGGAGTTTTATAAAAACTTATAAGAGTTTTTTAAAGTTTTGTAAATAAAATGCTTTTAATGTGAAAGTGTGTTTTGGTCTTTAATGACCAGGACGGGTTTACAGTTTTAAAAATTCCAAAAATCTTAACTTTCCCTAAACATTTACTTTTTTCCAAGTCATTTTTATTTTGTTTTGTAGTTTCTTACAAATATAAAAAAATACATGACATAAACTTGCTTCTAGGGAAGAAAAATAAGCTGTGACCACTCTTGCGGCCATGGGTGATTGTTAAGTTGCTCTCACTACTTCAAAGTTATTAAACGCATGATTTTTAATAAAATATTCTGCACTGCTCTTAAAATCAGATGCGAGAGGGAATTTGTTTTTAACGATATGAAAAGGTTTTAATTTAAAGGTCTTTGTTTTGATGAGCAGGACGTTGTTCCAGTTACTCAAATGTCCTGGAAATCTTTGATGCATTCATGAAAATAAGAGAAAAAAGTGAAAATGTTATTAGTGCCACTTTTAGTGAACACAAACATTTAAAATATTTCCATGAAATATTCAAGAGCAGCTGTTTTAATCAGCAGGTACTTTTCTCAGGTGGTTGTCGAGTTTTAAGCTTGGCGGTGTCGGATGCTGACCTGTTTCTGGTTTTTTCAGGGCGGGGTACCTCCCACAGGGCGTTCCCTTGCAGCTGATTGGCTACCTGCCGGAGGAGACGTCTTTCCTCCCGTGGCACGCCGCCAGCCGCGTGCTGTACCAGCTGGACAAGCTGTTGGACCGCACAGACGAATACCGGCTGTTCAGTGTAAACAACCGATCCATCAGCATCCCGATCAATCAGTACCGGCTCCGCGTTGGCTGTCTCGTTAGCGGTGACGGACAGCTGCGTGTCGGCGAAGCTCTCAGCAGCCTGTGTGTGTTTGTGTTGACAGGATTACGTGCTGAAGCAGGTTGCATCACGCTACCATCAGATGGGCTGGCCCACCAACGGTCCTGGACCTGATGGCAGCATCCTGAAGGCGTCGTACCAGACTGAGTACGTACGCTTAGCCAGGAGCAGACGTCCACCAGTCGTGGACATGAACGTTACTTTTGATGATTTATTTGAACCATTGATTTTCCACTTGAACCGCAACAAGTTTGTATTTGTTGTGAAATGTTAAACATTACAAGCTCAAATATATTAAATTCAATTCATTTCTATAACTCCAAGTCACAACAGAAGTTGTCTCAGGGCACTGAACTAAAACATTCACATAAAAATAAAACAAGTTATTTTATCTAAGGAAGCAGCAGATTATGTTGAATCTTCACTTTGTCAGTCGCTCATCCTGAGCAAGCACAAAGGAGACAGTGGAAAGAAAAAACTCCTTTTTAACAGGAAGAAACCTCCAGCAGAACCAGGCTCAGGACGAGCGGCCGTCTGCTTCTTCCAGCTGGACTTGAGAGGACAGGAAGTAGAAACAGACGGTGAACGTTCTATAGGAGGAAAGACTAAAAACACGTTACGATAGAAATAATAACATATTACAATAATACACTGTTCTAGTTTATGGAGAGCTTTATTATATGTTAGCAGGCTATCTCCAAGATCAATAAAATTATTTCACATTAATGGAGCTCCATTTTCTTTCCTGTCTGTTTTAAAGTACATAACTCTATATCCATGTACCAAACGTATTCATACACCCCACTAATATTTGGTTATATGTCCCTCAGCAAGTGTCCCCTGGACCACAGGGTTCTTGTCTCCGTCAACAAGGTTCTGGTAGCACTCTGGCTGATATTGGACCAGACCTTTTAAACGGGTTGGTTTCCTGTCAGCTTCTGCTCAAAGTCCATAAACTTTCATCAGATTGAGGTCAAGACTTTGGGAAGGACATACCAGAAGCTTCAAATTAGCTGTTTCATCTAATCAGAAACCAGTTCTGGTGGTTCGTCCATCCAGAAACCAGTTCTGGTGTTTCATCCATTCAGAAACCAGTTCTGATGTTTCATCCAATCAGAA